CGTACGAATAATCATGTATCACGCTCAGTTAAATTCTCAATGTGAAACAATTCCTAATCTATGGGTGTGGATAAATTATATTAAGGCGTCAGAAGAGTCTGTAATGGTACGATATGAACAAGAACAACGTCAACAAAGAAGTACATGTCCGAGAAAAGCAAGGTCAAGACATAATGGTGCTATATTGATTGCTGCCAAACAAAATTATATTTGTGGTCATATAGATCTAGAAGATTTACAGAAATTGTTAAGAGCATTAAGTCATCGTTACATCAAAGTGTTTTGAGTATACAGTCCATATTATCAAACAGAAAGAAAGTAGAACAGAGGTGGAACAGTTAATAATATCCAAACCAGATTGAAAGTTGAATTTGCAACCAGACGCTAGTTTCCAAGCAGACTTTAGTACGTCAAAATTTCGTACTGCTGAACTCACAGAACTTCAGAGGAATTTCAAAAACCTTCGAAAAAATATGAAGTTCTTCTGGAGGAACCATCGATTTCTACAGGAGAAAACATTAAATTCTTCTCGGAAAGCAACCGTTTGATCAGGAATCCCTTCTGGAGAACAACAGTTGCTGGAGAAGAAACGACAAGTTCAGGAAAACATCGTTTACTGCAGGAGAAAACGTGAAGTTCTTCTGGAAAAACATCGGTATCTTTCAGAGAAAACATGAAGTTATCGTGGAGAAACATCCAGTTCGGATGAGAGTGAGGGTGAGCGGTAGAAACACCGGTTACTGCAGGATAAAAGATAAAGTTCTGGTACATTGAAAAGTGTTAAGAAACTAATAGCTTGACAAATGTTGGCACCTAGAAGTAAAAGATAGCCCCACTAGGACTGTTGGGTTTGAGATTTGTAAGAAAACTCGATTAATCTAAACTGATTATTTTGTTTTCAGTCAGTAAACTGACCGGGGAGAGGCTGAGATTGAAATGTCACAGTTTAATAATTTATCGCGCTGAGATAGTCTTTTAAAATGATACAACTTTAATTCTCCTGCTTCTTAAGCACTATCTTCGAATCAAAAGCTACTAAATTGCTATTAGTTTCTTAACACTTTTCAATGGAGAAATCAAATAAACATTCGTGTCGTTTGCGTGAAAAGCCTGTTCGTGATAAAGAAAGAATACGTTCATTGGAAAATTACCAAACTGTATACGACTTTGCAACGGCAAATAAATTAATACCTGTCTATTCACATAATGCGTGTTATATGGAATTACATCATAATAATAAAAGAAATGCTACAATTGAAACGACACAGAATCAAGATGGTCAAACGATAATGAATATCGATCTGCAGTGCAATGTAGGCACTCAGACAGAGTTCCTCACAGATACCACTATGAATCAATTTGCAACAATAACAACAAGTTCTAACGCAGTATTTAGTATTAATCCTTCTACGTCATGTTCAACAGCTACTTCGAATTTTACTGATTCATTCGAAAAGACTTGTATCGAATTACCTTTTTATCGAGTATCCAAGTCTCATAAAAAATGTTCGATATGTGAAAAGAATTTTTCAATAAAATCATTCCAAATAGTATGATCGAGAAAATAGGAGATTATTTTCAAATTGTTTGTGCAATGTACGTAGATTTCTTGCTTTACTCACAGATACATTGTCTTTCTCTTTTTCTGATAGGTCGTCAATTGGCAACAATCGAACCAGCTAAAACAAGCACTTTTTCGGATGACTACACTTGTTACCGTTTAATTTCGACCGACTTCAAAGAAAAAATTCATTTAGTTGCTGATTCCAAGTTCAATACTTTGTCTGGCAATGGCAGTGAAGCAATAAATAAGCTCTGAATTAGTAAAACTGACATTTTACAAAGGGAAACAAACTGATTTCTATCGATTTCCAATTTCCGATAGTTTCAACTAGCATAGAATGCTCTAGATGCCGTTTGTATTAGAAAAGGGGGACTTGTATATCTCAGCTAGAACGTATTTTTCTAATCTCTTTTGAAGCATAATTTAACCTTTTAGATTGAAAACGGGTTTGTTTTCACAAATAAAATTTAGTACTTCCAAACTACGGGTAGTTATAGTAAAACAATCCATTTTCATTTCCAATTTGTCTTCATTTATTTTTCCAACGCCCCCTAACGAGTCTCTAACGAGAGACAAACATTCTATGACGAGAATAAAAAGAAAATGATTTCTAGTATCAGAAATTAGTTTCTTCCTCCTTGCATTTTCACATCTGTGTGCACGCGCTTTTTTCAGTTTCTTACTTGACCGGACCGTTTAAAATTCAGATGTTCACTGAGAAAAATATTCTAACATCGTAATTAGAGATGAAAGCAACTAAAAATATTCAAGCCGGACCAGATAAGTTGATTGAAAAGTTCATAAGAATTGAACCCACAAACCCAACTCATCTACTACTAACTAGCGCATCCGGTTCATGGTTGTGTCCAACTGAATCATTGATATTTCAGATGACTTCATTTACTTACGCTCTTATTATTCTTTCGAAGAACAAAAGCCTAGTTCGGATGCATTGTTAAGTGGAGAAAATTTCTCGTTAAATTTTATTGGACAGCGTTCGATGATCATAACACACTGAAGACAGGAAAACAACGTTGTCCGCTGCAGGCAATAGACAACATTATCACATTTTCGAAGCTAAAGCCATTCTCTTCAACATTCGTTCTTCAATTTAATGACCCAGGAAAAGTAACTTTTATTTATCAAAGTCACTCACAAAAAGTCATCTAGAAACAGTTTTAGATGAACTCAATTAGGTTTATCATATAAAACGACTGACATCTTCTTTTCCTACTTTCATGTCCAGATAGTGTTCAGAGTCCAGATATCTAGTGTATTAATGATAATTTTATTCTCATCCGTCGAAGCTTCATGCACATACACACCCAGATATTTCGCATTCTCTTTTTCAGGATAGACACGTGCTGTAATGGCCACACGACCGCCTTTTGGTTCAAACACTTCAATAATCGAATGATCAATAAAAATATTTAATCCAAGAAACCATTGACCATTTAATAACGACGACGATGGTTCCATCCAAATAGTTCCATGAAGTGGTGAATGTGCTGCTGCTGGATTTGTTTGTGATAATGTTCGATCAATATAAATCCAAACAGGTTGTTGATCTAATCCTTTCTGTTTAACACCTGATACACATGCCGCATTTGAATTTAAAAGAGGTATACCTGATTTAAGAAAGCAATTATTATTAATTTGTCGATCAGTTACAAATGTCCAAGCTTGACATTTTGTATCTTGATCACAAACTGGTTGACAATCAGACCACTGATGAATATTAGGAACACTGAAATAATCCCATCCTGCCAGATCCCAATTCATCATCACACTCGTATTTCTTTGTGTTATAATTCCAATATTTGTTTGTTGACTACCATCGGATGTTGAAAGAACACTCATGCCAAAATCTAAATTCTGTCAAAAGAAAAAGAGAAATGAAGGTCAATGAAAGTAATCTATCTACCTGATTCATTGAAAATTGCCAATTGATTATAATTTCTATTTGATTTCCACTAACATCAGGTACAAGTACGAACGGAATTACTGTTGGTAAAATAACATTCTGAAAATGTCGATGAGTCTTTTCATTTCTTAGACTTTGTAATGCTTCTATTGGACGTGTACGTAATTGAAGTCCATCATCAGAAAGAAAGATAGCTCGTGGAAGAGTATGTAAACCTTGCCAACCACGTTGTTCACCTTGATTATCATCTTCAGCAGTCCAACCCATAATTACTTGTTGATCATTCAATGGATCATAAAATGATTTTGATGCATAAAATTTTCCTTGATCAATTAATTGTGTGTATTCACCAAGATCATTACCTACTGGTACAAAAATTAAATTAGTTGGATCAAAATCGCCTATAGCCCAAAAATCTTGACCACGTAATGATGCTTTTAAGACGATTCGATTCGAAACATTAAAAATATCTGGACATTCCCAAAAATTATCATAATGATTGCTATGAATTGGATGTAGATATGTCCAATTGGAAAAGTCTTTTGAAGTAAACAATACTGCTTGACCACCTAATTCATCTGTTCCAAATCCATAGATTAAATAATAATTATTATAATCATCTTCAAATGCTGTTGCTGGATCACGTCCATTGGGATGTGTTATAATGGGATTTAGCGGAGATTTAATCCAACTTGTTAATGTCGGATCAGATAGATTAGCTGGTCGAGCTTGACATTGTACTTGTTCATTTGTTTCTGTTATTCCAGTGTAGATAATAACTGGAATACCATCAACAAGAGTTGTACTTCCAGTAAATATTCCGTTTTTATCATACGGTTGATCAGGTGCAATAGCTACCGGTAAATGAATCCAATGAACCATATCTTCACTGTAGCAATGACCCTTTATAAAAGAAATAATGAGGAAGACAGTAAGAGATGGTTAGTTTCGCTTGATGCATATCTCACCCAATGCATATCTCACCCAATGCATATCTCCCCATACGGCTGCATTCGGATTATGCTGAAAGAACATATGATAGTAACCATTGTAGTATACAGGTCCATTTGGATCATTGAGCCAATTTTTAGGTGGCATCATATGATATTGTGGACGCAACGGGTCATCAGCTTGACTAACGCCAAGACTAACAATTATAGTCGCAAATAAAAGCATTGTTTGCAGATGTTTGGTTTACGTGTGTGTGTTGTGCAACCTCATATATATATATAATATATATATATTTTATCTTGTTATCTCTAGTTAACTGAGTCAAGGTGTAACTCGATTATAAAATGCCTTCGAAAAAAATGAGCTTAAAATTCGCGAAAAGTTCTTTTGGTTTCAATAGATCGTGGATTTTTGGCAGATTTCAGATGTATAAACAGATAGCTTTTGGTGTCGACCTATACGCGCGTGACGGAATTACATTTTCCAACTTCTGCGCTCTCTTTCTCCTCAAATACTGCACAAAAGGTAACGAAATCTTTATCAGAGATGTGCGGTAGAATACTTGATTTGAGATAAAAATTTACCATGAATCGCGGTTGTGAGGAACCTATATTTCCTCTAATTATAAGTCCTTGAGTTGATTGTATGCGTGCGTTAAGATGTGTAGTATTACTCTTTTATTCGACTACTCTTTATCACAAACTACAAAAAACTAACTCTTCACAAGAAAAATACTAATATATATATGTACGACTGTATGCACAAAAGTTAAGAACCAAAGAAGAACAAAGAGAGGAAAGAACAAAAACAGACAAAGAATAGAACAGAACAAAAGAGAGTAGCTCTACCGAAAGAAGTACATACAGAACAGAGAGGTTGTGACAAAGAATCGTCACATACCCCCCGCCGAGATCCGAGTGCCCTCACGCGGATACTGTGGAGTAGGAGTAAAACAAAAAAGTACTTAAATCGGAAACAGCTACAGTGCAAGATTAGAATGCTACAGAAAAGGAGGAGAAGGACCGCGAACAAAAAAAGAAAAAATGGAAGACATGACACAGAGAAAGAAAGGAAACCGGAAAAACTCAGACGAAAAGATTAGTTGTAAAAAGCCGACGATATACATGAGCAAAAAAACAACAACAAAACACAAATAGAAACCAAGAAAACCAAAACAAAAATATACGCGGAATGACGGAGTTAATGTTTTAATCGAGCGAGATGATTTCGGACGTAGTGCACGATGATCGATGAGGTGGAGTGGCTGCGGAGACGCTAGGGTTCGGTGATGGAGTGCGCGACGTGGTATGAAGATGAAGAAGATGGAGGATGCGGTGGTGAATCGTCATGCAGTCGGCGGTGAGGTCGAGGAGAATATCGCGTGAACGTTGAATGCGTGACGAAGAAGACGGTTGCGGGGAGAACGATGGGGCGACGTATGTGTCCGTAACGCCTTGGTGTAGGTGCAGAACAGATTGAGCGAGGTGTGCGATGATGGTAGCGAGAAACGAAACAGTAAATAGAAGTTCATCGACGTCGTCGGAAACGGCTGGAGTGGTAAAGGGTGGTGGAGACGTGAAAGTGGATACGGGCACTGATGACGTGGATGAAGGTGACGATGGCATGATGTAAGATGAAGTGTTTGGAAAATAACGGAGAAGATATTGAGTAGCGAGCGATGGAAAGATAATGACGATGAGTGAACGAGAAAGTGAGAAATGATTGGGTACACAGTGGATGAGTAGAGAAAGAGAAAGAGAAACAAAAAAAAAGAAAAGAAAAAACAGGATGACCTTAGAGGAATTGAAGTTAAATAATCTTGAACAACTGACCAGTGTATGTGAACGTGGATGCTAAGAGAGTGAATGACTGATGAGAAGTGTCATCGTTGTGTAAAGGAAAACTGGAAAGATGGAACCTGATGAAGATAGAAGAGATAAAAAGGTTTGACAATGATGGATGAGAGTACGTGTGACTGGTCAGTATATGTGAACGTGAATGATAAGGGAATGAATGATTGATGAGAAGTGCCACTGTTTTGTAAAGGAAAAAATGGAAGAAATAAACAGGTTTGACAATGATTAATGGAGTTTCGTGTATTGTGAGAGAACATATAATACAGATAAGTAGTGGCCTTGAGTTCGGACAGAGACACGAAATAAAAGAAAACTGGTAACTATTAGAAGGGAACGAGGAGAATGGAACACAATAGAGTGGTTAAATGGCGGATATGCTGTAAAAAATAGAATACAAATAATCCAAAGAGAAATAAATAAAAATAACGACTCAATGGCAAAAATTTACGATAAATAGCGAGTGTTCGGTTTGGAAACACGCGTGCTTCGACGCGAAGCACCTGAACAACCAGTAGGAGGAATGGATATGCGACATCGAGGTGTGAAAGCATTAGGATGACATGTCATATCTGGGAGTAAAGAAGCCTGAGGTATCCAGCATGGTCGATACAGTCCATGTTATCAAGCATATTATCAAGCAACCGTTTGTAGAGCAGCGACAAGTTCAGGAAAACATGAGTTATTGCAGGAGCAAACATGAAGTTCTGGTGGAAAAGCATCGGTTTCTTCAGGAGAAAACACGAAGTTCTCGTATCGAAACGTCGCTTTCTTCAAGGAAAAGTTGAACTTGTCACTGCTCTACAAACGGTTGCTTTTCGAGACGAATTTCATGTTTTCTTCTGAAGAAGCCGATGGATTTCCACCATAACTCACCCACACCCAAAACAGATGTTTCTCCACGACAGCTCCATATTTTCTCCTGAAGAAATCCACGAATTTCATGTCTTCTCCTGAAGAAACGGATGTTTCTTCAAGTTCTTCTGGAGACACATCCGTTCATGTTTTCTCTTGCAGTAACCAATATTTCTCTACCAGAACTTTATCTTTTATCCTGCAGTAACCGGTGTTTCTACCGCTCACCCTCACTCTCATCCGAACTGGATGTTTCTCCACGATAACTTCATGTTTTCTCCTGCAAAGAGAAATAAATAAAAATAACAACTCAATGGCAAAAATTTACGATAAATAGCGAGTGTTCGGTTTGGAAACACGCGTGCTTCGACGCGAAGCACCTGAACAACCAGTAGGAGGAATGGATATGCGACATCGAGGTGTGAAAGCATTAGGATGACATGTCATATCTGGGAGTAAAGAAGCCTGAGGTATCCAGCAGGGTTTAAGACGATCAGCATTAATCGTTCCCAGAAAAACACCATCAGATATGCGTTGAATCTGATATGTGGCAGGACCGAGTTTTTTGACAATTCGGCAAGGTCCCTGGTAGTGTGGGTCAACTTTGCTAGTTGCCCATTTTCCGGATAATGGTTTAAGGTGAACGATACAAAAAGCAAGAGGAAATCAGTGGCCCGAACATGACGTAACAAACTATCACCAATTATCAAGTGGTGATGAGCGTGCATTCATTTTGATGAACGACTCTAGAATAAACAGGGGTTGTGCCAATGAAAGATAGGAACTATCAAACACCAAAATTAGCCTGGGAATGCAGAAACGTTG